CGCTAGCTCTGCCGCTTGTCTTTTGGCTCCCGACATCCCCGTCACCTCTGAATCTCACCTTCTTTTTTTTTCGTGATTGCACTTCTACTTGTACAGCAGCGATAATTTCCTCCACCCAAAAGTGGCCATGCACCGCACCCACTGACCAGTGCAGCTGAGACTGAAGCACCTTTACCCAAACTCGACGACAACACCGACGAAACATGCGCAAGCATCCCAGCTGACGCGACAAGCGAAGTCAGCCCAGACCCTGTCTCGAGAGAGGCTGACATTGAGACGCCGATTGAAAACCCCACGGTCGAAGAAAAGCAGACCGAACACGCCGCGGGCGATCCAGCTGTTCTTCAAGATATTTCCGAACAAACCGACCATGATGTTGTAGCTGCCAGCGTTGCGCTAGCTGAAGCCGAGCCCGACTCTGCACCAGACATGCCGGCCAAAAAGGTGCCGGAAGTGGTATGTATAAGCTATGATTGATTCCGAACCTGCATCTGCTTCATGCCGTTCGCCATTCAGAAGAGTATACTGATTCATTGCAGGTCCATGAGGACGTTGGGCCTGATGAGGAGCCACAGCATTCGGAGGTTTCCAGCGGAGCCAACACAGGACCCGAGCCAGATGATGAACCAGTAGAAGAGCAGGGATCCGATGCGGGGAGCGAATCGGGGTCGGAGTCCGAGGATGATGACTGGTCTGGATCTGAGGTGTCTGCCGCACCTGCTGCCTCTGAAGTACCCCAGGCCGACGACGCGCCTGACTCAGCAACCGCTGAAGATGAAACCACCAATGCCGAAGAGGCCCCGTCGAGCGAAGTCGCTGATGTCACTGCTGCTGAGCCTGAAGAGCCGGAAGAAGAACGGTCAATCCTTGACGACGATGCCGGCTCCGATGACGACGCTGCTTCCGATCACTCCTCGAATTCCCAAGAAGAGCCAGAGAGTTCCATGGTAGTCGACGATGCTGCCGAGCCCGACGAGCCAGAAGTGTCTGAGAGTCCGGAGTCGCCTGCCGAATCGGCCGCGACCACCGAAGCGCATCCAGGTCTATCACTCGAGGTCAATGTCGCAACCTCTGAGATCGTCCCAGCTGCAGAGTCTCCAGCATCAGAGGTCGAAGATCCGTCTGATCCTGCGCTGGAAGCAGTCGAGGAGGAGCAAGGAGATGACGAGAACGATGTCAGTGCTATCACTCAAGAAGATTCTGCGAACGACGATTCACTGGTTTCGTCGCAAGATTCCGCTGAGCCTGAAGAGGAGCCCACGGCAGCTACCGAGGTGTCTGAGCCGGCTGATGCACCCCAACCAGAAGAGGAAGTTGCCCCGGAAGACGAGGGTGACGATGCTTCTCAGGTCAGCGAATCTGGCAGTGAGAGCGAGGTAGGAGAGTCTGCTGCACCGCCGGAAGACCCTGCTGAGGCCGATGACGACGCTGCGCCGACGACAGTTGATGGGGAGGAACTAGACACCGCCGCACCGCTTACCGAAGACCCATCAACCGAAGGCGTTGAGAATGAGGCATCCGAGGCGGGAGATGCATCTGTGGCTGAGCAGGATGTGGAAGAGCCTGCTGAACCAGAGACGGCTGAGTCAGTCGCAGCAGAACCGGAGCCGGAAGCGGAAGCGGCGGCGGTTGAGCAAGATGTGGATGCAGCTGCAGATGAACCAGAGGAGCCGCCTGCTGAGATGGCTGCCGATCCAGAAGAACTGGTGGTGACGCCAGATGAAGCCGCCGATGAGGGTCCCCAGGAGGACGAGTCTGCTGCGGCTGATGCTGACCCTTCACTCGTTGAAGAGGCGGAAGAGGTTGAGCCAGCACCACCTGCTGAAGAATCACCAGAGCCACCCAGTGAGGATGGTCAATCAAATGACGGATCTGGAATTACAGGAGAAGCAGAGGAGCCGTCAGTGGTTGAGGCCAGCGAAGCGAACGACGACGGTGCTGAAGATGCTCCACCTGCATCGGAGCCAGCCCCTGAAGAGGAAGCGCCGCCTGAAGAGGCTGCTGCGGAGGTGGAAGAAGCGCCTGCTGAAGCCACCGAGCCAGTGGTAGAGGCCGGTGATGTTGAAGAAGTTGCGGCAGACGAACCCCCGGAGGAAGCAACGAATGAAGAGCCGGCATCTTCGCCTGATGTCGAGCTCGAGGAAGAACAGGTAGAGGCACCACCCGAAGCCCCTGAGGAAGAACAGCCAGAACCCGAATCACCAGCTGATGCTGAAGAGCCCGAGCCGCCGACTGAACCCGTTCCTGAGGAACCGGAAGTACCAGCTGAGGCGACCCCAGAACCAACGCAGGAACCCGAGGAGCCCGCTCCAGTAGCGGCGGATGCACCCGCTGATGAAATCCCGGAAGACCAGGATGTGGAGGAGTCGGTACCAGCCCCCGAAGTGGAGGTAGAAGAGGTCGTAGCCGAGGTGGCCAATGAAGAGAGTCCCGAACCCGAGCAGGCCGATGAGGATGCACCGGCAGACCGGTCCCTCGACGTTGACGAAGTTCCAAGCGCACCTTCACCTCTGCCTTCTGTAGCTGCCGTTGCTGCTGCTGGGATTACTGGTGCCGCCGCTGCTGCATTAGTCGGTCAGACCGTTGGTGACCGTGCGGACAGGGAGCGCGACTTTGCAATTGAGGACGAACCGTCAGCCGATACACCCAGTCGTGAGAAGACCCGTCGCCGACATTCGCACACCCGTCGTGAAAGCCAGCACCGGCCAAGCCGCAGACGCGAAAGTGGCGCTAGTATTATGGAGCGACCAATAATGCCAGCCTCTGCCGTTCCTGATGCGCCAAGAACAAGGCGTCGCGACAGCATGACAGAGCGCGAAGCGGCTGAGCGCAGAAGGGCCAAATTGCGCGAGGTTGAGATAGCCAGTAGTGGTAGCGACATACAGAAGGCGTACCCGGATCCGTACCGCTCGCACTACCGAGAACCCAGGGGTGAGGAGAGATACAGCAAGCGTCGCCCCGTCGAGGAGGTTGACGAAGAAGCCGACAAACAGAAGCGACGCGAAGCCCGGCGGGCCGAGAGAGCTGAGAAGGAGCGACTTGCCGCCGCAGACGCTGCCCGCCTGAAAGCAGAAGAGGAGGCGAGAAAGCTGGAGCATCGGGAACGACGCCGAGCAGTCAGGCGTGCCGAAGAAGAGCTCATGAGGGCCATGGAGGAACGCAAGAAGCTCAAAGAAGAGCAAAAGCTCGCCCAGGAAGAGGAGGAGCGACGCATTCGACACGAGAAGAGGAGACAACGACATGAGGCTGAAAAGGAGGCGAAGCGCCTGGAACAGGAGGCGATTGAGCAGGCGGCGCGCGAAGAAGAAGAGGCTCGGAAATTACGGCGTCAGAGGAGGGCGGAGCGGGAAGCAGCCAAAGCAGCTGGCTTGCTGAAACCAAAGGAAGAGCTTATTGATGTTTCTCGCGATGCTGCTCGCCGAGCAGCAGAGGAAGACGTCGATGGCGCTTCACCTCCACCCCCGCTGCCACCAGTAGTCGACGACACCCCTCCTCGTAGTGCGCCGCGCAGGCGTTTGAGTACCCGAGAGACTCCACCGAACGTGAAGCGTGGTAGTCTCTTCGGCGGCATCTTTGGCCGTTCAAAGCCCGAAGCAACACCAACGGCTGCGAAACCGTCGAGATCGTCTCGTGCCCGCGCCAACACGCTAGAGGCTACACCTGTCAAGTCTTCGCGAAGAGAACCGGAGATTGAACGACCTTCGAGCCGAGACATGTCATCGGATCAGAGCCGAGAGCGCCCAGAGCGTATGCACCGCAGTCGGCGTCTTTCACATAGTCAACGTCGCTTCGCTTCTGCTGAGGAAGAGGCCGATTACTACAGATGGAAAGAGGAACGACGCTTCATGCGTCGTCCTGAGCACGAAATGTCTGGTGGACGGGACGGAGGAGTTTCTCTTCCACCACCGCCTCCACCGCCTGAGGATCTCCCGCCGCCGCCACCGGAGCCTTTCGAATACGAGCCAGAGCCGGAACCCATCGAGACAATCGAATCACCGGTAATCGAGGACGCAGCTGCGGTTGTCGGTGAGATATCCATCTCAGACGAGGAAAGACGCGAGCGTCGTCGAAGCAGGCGTATGTCCAAACCAGAAGAACGCCCCAAGACACGCCGCATCTCTGTCGTTGAGAAGGAGAGGCCATCTGGTGGTCGTCGAGTAGAGTCGGATCGACCCCGCGCACGAGACCATGGTGAAGACCGTCCCAGGCCCAGGCGTGGCGAGACCGACCGACGCGACAGGAGGAAGAAAAAGGAAGAGTCCAGTGGTCTCAAAGGACTCTTCGGAGGGTTAAAGAGGCGAATCACTTGAGTTTTGGAGTATAACAGAAACACACATCTACATTTAGGAGGGGAGGGGTCCACACGGACAACACTGGCGTTTTGGATTGGTCGAATTGTTCTATACCACTGACGGATCTCCTACTACATTTTAATCACTGAGGTGTTTTGGCGTTGGGTTTCAGCATAAGATGGATGGGTGGGCATGTGTAATTGTATGGCTCTATGTTCTTGTTTCTTTAGATTGGTGATGAGGGCTCGCGAGAGTCAGGTAGCATATAGCAGCTGCTTCGGCGGTGACACGATACGAATGATGATTCATTGGTACGAAATCAGGACCTGCGATGTCGATGTGTGGGCTACGCCGTGTTATAGAGAATGGTTGTTGGTAGAGTTACGTAGGAAGGCGCGTGTCTAGTTGACGCTTATCGCCTGGGACCTGTTCCGGCCGTCGCAATGGTTCCCCTCATCATCTCGATCGGAGAGCCCGGAACCGAGAATGAGGGGATTTTGTTCCATACAAAGACGTTGTCATGGGTGTTGATCAACGTTCAAGGGTGTAAACCCCTTGCTCATTCGATTGCGCAGTGCAATGGCCTGAGCTTCCGTCTCACATAAGGTAGCGTTCCTCGGTGCCCAATCTGAGCGCCAACGCCTTTCTCCCACCTAGACGATAGATCAATAGTGGACTTCATATACCCATCGAAATACCGAGAGCGCCATGGAATCTGCAGCCCCAGCGAAGCGACAATGGAAGGGCCGCACCGACGAGCAGAAAGCCGAGCGAGCCAAAAAGCGCCAGGAACAAAAGTCCGGGCTCAACGCGCGACAAGCACGTACATCAACTGGCAAGAAGCCAACGAAAGTGCAACGCGTGTTCAACATACTTGACGAATGGAAACCAGAGGAGTTGGGATTCACAGCCGGCATCAAAGAAATCGAGTTCGGGCCAGACTTCGTGGTGCAGGAGTAGGTGAATGCGTTCCCGGACCTTGCCGGTGGGGCTAACTCACGTGACAGCGCGCATCTTGACGCGATTGCTACAGCTGACGAAGCTTTTCGTACCAAATTGGAGAAAATAGGACTGGGCGTGCGTCTTGATAAAACGAACATGCCCATCACCGACGATGCGGTGATGCGACTCGCACGCGCGTGCCCAAACCTCAAGACCCTGCGGCTTGATTCGGCTCTTCTCATCACAGGGACGTGCATCCCACCCATCCTCACAGCATGCCCAAACATCACTTCGCTCAGCATTACCGGCCACAACGGCCGCACAGGCAGCTTGAACCTAGACAATCTCAAGCCCATGGCTGACGACCCCGTCATCTCCGTCAGCGCACCCAAACTCAAAACCCTAGACTTGCGTCGCGCGATCAACGCTGCACAGCAAGAAGACTACTACGATGTTCTGAGAGCTGTTACAAGACCGGAGGGTCGGAAGAATAAGCTGGAAGTGCTGTTCCAGCATCCGACTTATCATTGGGAGAAGGGTTACAAGAATGGCAGGGAGAAGCAGCCGAGAATGACCCAAGCGATGAAGGAGAAGGAGATGCTTGAGGAGGTGATGTGGGCGGTGAAAGGTAATAGGGGGTTTGATATCGATGATGAGGATGATGGGTACGGGACTGATTATAGTGCGATAAGTGCGATTGTTCATGGGGCGATGTAGGGGGGTTGGGGTGGGGCGTGGTTCAATATTGACATCACGGAGTATGAAAGCGTGGAAGGTTATTGATACTTAATTCATCGTGGGTATGACGTTCGTCTTGTAGCTACTACAAGCCTCAACAAACCGCCTGCATCTCGAACTTCCTTGCCTTTGGCCCAGGAACCTCTCCCATCCTCAGCCCACTACAGATTGCTTTGAGTACGCCCACCGACCTAATCAGAAGCCACAACAACGTTTGGCATAATGATATGGCCCATTCCAATCCTCATCTTCCACATCGAAGCAGCAGCCAGGTGTTGCCTGGACGAGCTCTCTCGTGACGTTGCCGCGTTCCAAGGCATCCATTCTTCTTTTGCATCCTTCTTGACCTTGATGGTCCAAGAGAAATGCTCGGCATGATCCACCGTCATGTCGACAATCGCGTCTCGAAAGTATGTGCGCCAAGCCGCCGTCCTCTCAAGGGCAATAAGAACGGCTGTGAGAAAGCAAAAGAAGCTATGGTGTGGGTCTACGTCGCGGTCAGCGTGCATAGGGTCGAAAACATCAGGGGCCCGATAAGGGTCCAGAAGGTTAATCTTAACAGATGTAGCTGCGTTTTGGAAGCGGAGAAGTGCCATGAGGTTAACCGTGTAGTAGGACCGTGGTATTCTTATATACAGCGTATTCGTGCAGGTCGCTGGTATCGGTATGAAGTCTGCAATGAATTCGTTGATATCGGGAATGTTCACCGTTGCATGGACGTCTTTGAGGTGAAGGGGTTGGAATTCTTTGCGGAGCTGCTGGCAGGTGTGGACTAGGCCCAAAGCTATCCTGAGGGTGTTTTGATCATTCGACGCACGGAGCGTCACAGTATTTGCATCTGCTGTAGGTCGTTTGAAGTGTATGTACCGCTGTCGGACGATCAGGTATTCGTATATCTCATTACGGATTTCTGTGAAGGATGTCATTAGCGATTCTGAAATTGGTCATGCTGGAGGCTACTTACCTCCGGGAAGCTGGAGTAGGCGTGACTGAGGTTGCGGAATGTGTGAAGTCATCTTGTAACTTTGGCTTCTGGTTGAGGATTGGGGTGGCTCGTATGAGATTGAACGACGAGGAAGAGGAGTCAAGCCTTAAGTATCTGGGGGTTAAATAGGGAAACGTCATTGAATGGCTGTTGATACACGATGCAGGTGGTGAATGTACGATATTACTTTCACAGTACCTTCCTCATGCTTCCCTTGAGATCCTAACATAGCCACAGCCCTGGTCTGTGCGTTGGGACGCCATATTCTGATTGCTATACGCTTCACCCATAGTACTGCGATGACGTAGAGTGAAACGAGCCACTTACAGCTTTCGCAACATCGAAAACATAGATGAAAAGATGCTCCTACAAATGAGAGAAGTCGCAAGTACAGTATTCTAGTGTGTGCGTGCCTGATAGTAGAGACTGTGAAGGCACCGTGTGAATGTATGTATTGAAGCTTGGGTGAAGGATATTGACCATTCGACGTCCTCTCTTTCACCACTAAGCTTTTCAATTCTTATCCTTTCAAGGCCATCCTCTACAGCGTTGAGCTCTTCAACGTCGATCCAGGACTTTTAATTCTCCGGCTGAGCAGACACGCGAGTCTGACCGAGCACGTAGTAGGAATGACCATAACTGTCGAAGAGATCCACTTCCTTCGCCCACGTCAACAGCTCATGGCTTCCGGGAAAGGGATTAGTGATACCAGGATCTAGCGAAGATTCGAAGGCCAGCACCTTGAACTTGAGGATGATCTTGCAGTGAGGTCGTTCAATGTGGAAGACAAGTCGAGTGCTTGACGAAATTATGCAGTACTCCCAGATCCATTGCGGTCGTTTTTCTGCCCTTGGGTTGGATACCCATGTCCTTTGACCTTCAATACGGTAGTCTAGGAGTCGGCCGGGGAATTTGCGAACGAAGTAAAGCGGGTCGAGAGCCCCGAGGTAGTCGTGGGACCCGGAATTGATCTCACGAACTATGTCTGCGTCGCAGCCACCGAGTACACACTCGAGTCTCTCGATACAATCATAGAAGTCTATACCAGCGATTTCGGTACAAAGAGGCATACTTCCCGAATATATTGGAAGAAATTCGCGACGGAGAAGCTGACAGGTTTGCGTAAAGCCGAGCGCAAGGGGTCGAGAGCTTTGCCAATAGGCTTCGTGAGGCTCTCTCTTGGCTGCCGACTTCGAGAAGTCTATCGGTAGATGTGGGTCGAAAAGCATGGCTTCAATTGGAGCGAAGCTCGACGGATTTGAGAAACGAGCCACCTTGACTGTCGACTGCAAAGCTTGTTAGTATGCATTGCAAGGTGCTTTGGACCTGGGATGCGCTACGTACAACCTTCGTGTTTGAGACATCAATGAGATAGCTGTAGATCCGGTTGCGCAACTCTTTTGCTATCGTTAGCAATGCACCTCCAACTTTGGAAGACAATGTTTACCTCCAGGTAGCTCAAGAAGGTGGCTTATCGGTGCAGGTGTCGCGACGTCACCTTCAGGTGTTATGTCTACCATGTTCGCGACAGTCGCAGGTTCCCCCGTTCGCGATCGTAAGGAGAGGAGTTGCGCATTCCCAAGTGGAAATACGAGGCGGATGTAACGCGCGGTAAAGGCGAGCGCGCTATCCCGATTAGGCAACGGCGGAGAGTCGGATGATGAGTCAGCAAATAGCGCAAACCGTTGCTCATCTGCGCAAACGCCTTCATCTCCTTTTCACCTACCGCATTCGGGAAAGGATACTCGATCTTCGCAGCCGACAATAGGATTACGTCGAGTACTTCTACAGATTGTCCCCAGCCTCATTGCCGGTCGTGCTGGCTGTCGTCGCAGAATATAATAATTACCGCATATCCGAATCTTCAAGCTCACAAGCGAGCAAGACTTACTCCTTGTCCCAGTCGAGCTTACGAGACGTGGAAAACACATCCAGCCACAGTCAAGCACGCTGCGCAAGATGCGGTGCTATTTCTTAGAACTACCCGGAGGTAAGTACTCGCCGTCGTTGATGTTAGTCAAGAAACACACTAACATCTGGGGCGGTCGTAGAACTTCGCAATCACATCTACACGCATCTCATCGATGCAATCCCAACAAAGGTCCGACTCATACCTCCGCCTTACTCGGCAAGCCTGCTCAGTCGAACACCAAATCTGGTATTCCGTTGGTCAATGCTTCGACGGCAGACACTCGGCCTCACTCAAGTTTGTCGCCAAGTCCGCGATGAGTTTCTTCCAATGCATCGTCAGCACATTTCCACGCTTGTTGAAGACGTCGCTACCCTGGAAAAGTTTGTGGATGTCTTCTTTGCCGACCTTGAGAAAGCATGTGGCACCGTGGTATTGAGCCCATCGAGTATTAAGTACAACGTCGAGCTCGCTCCTCTAATTCGGCTGCTATTAGCTGCACCTAAACTTGTCATCGAATTTGGGAATGTATACAGAAAAGACATGAGCTGCCTCAACAGTCTCATTGACGTACGATCCAACGACACCTGGAAGAAGTTCTTCGAGGAAGCTGTTACATCTGTGCTGTACAGAACCCCTCGACTCATCATCAAACCTCAGTTGCGCTTGGAGATCACCTCTCTGGTGAAAGAACCGTGGATGATTTGCAAGCCAGATTACACTGCCGACGACATACTCCGAAGTGATTATTTAGTCCATATGGGGGACTGGTTGCAGAGAATCGGCCTCGGTCAAGTTCCGATACCACCAGATCTGATCGATATCACTGTCAGACACGTGCTTCCATATGACGCTGTTCCAAGCCGTGAACTTCCCCGACGCGCCGATAGTAATGATGAGGTGGAGGGCTTGAATCTTTGTAAGGACCTACCGGTAATGTCCATCGTAGGCCCGGCAACTGCGCCGTTGCCGTGAAGCCTGGAATCGTAGAAGCCGTTATACGAAACGATCAAAGGCGCGACGCTCAACAAGTAGGAGGCATAGTGACGATCTCCTTTGCATGAGTTGGCCCTGGAGCACGTGGACATGCGCAAATCATTACATCACATGATAGAATGGTACATCTCTGATATTTGGATGCCGAGTCCGAGTCCATGCTATGGCAGTAGCAACACTACCCGACACGCAATCATCTCAATTGTTCTTGTTCTAGACTCTCCCACCTTCAGCCTGCCCCTCAAAGATCTTTGTTGAGATACTCGACAGGCCCAACATACACCTTGCGCCCCTTGAGAAAGAAGTACACAAGAGAGAAAACCACGACAACGCCGTAGATGAGGATATTCCAGTTCATCAGATCAGGTGTTGGGTGGGGGGATGTGGGGAAGAAGGCGAACACCAACACTACACACAGATACACAACGGACACGCCATTGACCCAGATACCGGCGCGACCGAGCGAGAACTTGCAGGGGAGGAGGGGCTCTCTGTTCCATCTCTTGATGAACATGCATGAGATGCTGACGATGTAGGACGAGAGGAGAGCACACGTGCCCAGCGATGCGACGGAGTTGAATGCCACGGTGCTGCCGATGTTGATGAGGGAGAGACCAATGGCGATACCGAAAGACACAAGAACGCTGTTGAGAGGGATATCCCAGCCTGGTCGGACTCGGGATAGGAAGGCACTGAAGGGAACGCCGTGGTCGCGAGCAAAGGCGAAGAGCTGGCGCGAGCATGTTGCCACATTGTTGACGCATCCAAACACGGCCATTATAGTCGTGATCGATGCCAGAGCTGTAGCCCCTGGAATGGACTGCGTAGCGTTGTACATGATCTGGATGTGGGGCTGCCCGGTCGGCGACATGATGGCGCTTTCGACGTCGCCGAGGCAGAAGCAGAAGGTTACTAGCATGAGGAAACCCAAACTGCTGTTAACGACTGCTGTCCAGATCATGGCACGGGGAAGTGTGTGCGATGCGTCCTTCAATTCTTCCGACATATGGGTAGCAGCATCTGCACCCAGGAGAGAGAAGATTGGCGAGAGCTGTCCCACCAACACAGACAGGCCCACACTACCCCATC